ATGGGGAGGGGGGAGTCAATGGGGGGGAGAAGGGGGACATCCATAATACTTTCAACAATAAAGATAAATGAAAAATAAATAAAAGAAGCCTATTAGCCAAATGTGACAAACCTTGGCTTCCAGCCCTTGCCAGTGCTGGACAGTAAAGGGCCAGAGGAGTCTCAGGAAAGCTACCTGGGGTGGGGCTGTCACTGTGGAACGGTTTAACCTGGGGGCAGGAAATAAGACAAAGGGACGCCAGTTACCTTGTCGGTGGAATTCCAGGCTCTGGGACGTTAAGTCAGCCCCCACAGCCCCTCACCTCTCCAAGGAAGGCAATCTCCCGGAGCGAGAGGGAGAGGAGCGGCTCACCTCGGCTAAATCCCCTCAAGATCTATTTACAGAAGCGTCCACAAATACTTTCACCTGGCCCAGCAGACCTCAGTTCCAGGACATACACCTGGGTTTCCTGAGCATGAAACATGGTATCTGACCCCCAAACACCGATCCCGGGCATTTCAGATGTGCTGTGTTTGCTGCATTACCCGTGGGAGTAGCTTGGGGGTTCTCCTACTTAAATTTAGGCAGGAAACGTGGCTTTTGGTTCCTAATTAAAATCCCCGCGTTTAAGAAGAAATAAAAATTATTAGATTAAAATGCACGAGTTAGGTATAAATGCCTCTACAAAAAGAGTTTATTAAGCCCCAAGGCAACAAAGAAAAATAGTTGGGATACCACCTCCCCACAGAGCTGCCTACACCAGCGGTGAGATGAACAGCTGGCTTCTGATTGGGCCACGCTCGAAACGTGGCTTGAGGCGGCAGACACGCTTCCCACCGGGTGGGACGGTTACTGTAACCCGTTCCCGCCACTGCAGTGTCCCCCCAAAGCAGCTGTGTGCCCTGGTGTGTGAGACAATTCTACACGGTATAGAGACGGACGTTAAAAACAGGAGTTGCTACTAATTCCAGTTTCATGCTTATTAGAAGCAAATATCAAAGCTAGGATTTCACAGCTATTAAGTAGAACGAAGCTGGGCAAAAACCAATTTTCCTAGGAAGTAAATAATGCTAATACTCAAAGACTGTTTCACTAAAAGTTTTAATATCAAAGCAACATTTTTGAAAAAGCCTATTATATGTCCCGTTAAAAAAAAAAATGCTTCAAGTGAATCTTTAAATCAAGTATTATCATACAGATTAATGCATTGTTTAATGATTTGGTTTTGAATATTTTGAAGGGAGCAAATAAGAAAATTGGAGGCTAGTTTTCCCGTGCTCTACATGATGTCTCCAGGGGAATCACAGGCATCTAAACAGACCTCTGCGGTTCCTTCCTTTCAGGTGGCATTCCGGGGACCACAGCTGTCCATGCTGAGGAGGGTTAGGGAGCCAGTCTGAAAGCAGAAAGAAAAGGCCTTTCCTGCAACTCCGTTGCTTCCACACTGAGAAAGTTAAATAATATAAGCCTCTCTAAAGTTTCAATTGTGTTTAACAATTCACAGTATTGAAAATGTCTCCAACTTCATCCGAATCCTACTTCGTGCCAGTCTCAGGCACTGTCTTTTTTGAGGGGCAATGTGTCTGGAAAAGGGCCCAGGCAGTCGCCGTCCAGCTGAAAATGAAGAACCGCCACCCTTTAAGTCAAGAGTCAAACTGAGTATCGTTTCCAACTATAGGTTTAACAGAAGAGTGTGCTTCAAGAGCGTACATTTTGTTAACCTAACTCAGGGCTTGCCCATATTTCTCTTTGGTCTGCCTGCCACGGGGTCGTTTCCCTTAAGGCCCACTCACTGTATCCTGCACGTTAGATGACCAACACCTGGATTAGCGTTTGTTTGTTTTTCTTACCTGGCCTCTAGGGAGTTAATCTTTTTTAGAAGATTTAGTAAATCCTTGTTTGAGTTTTGCTCCAGAAGCAGGGTCCATGGCTAATCCTTTACAGACATAAACAGATTTGTTATTATGTAAAAGCAAACATTAGCAAGGAAAAAAGAGGAATGATTGTGAAATCCGCGCACCGGCTCAAAGTCTCTATTCCGTTTTGTTTTGCTCTTGTAGCTATAGACAAATACTCAGTCTCTATCCTGGGCCAAATAACAGGGAAGACCGGGGGCTGTCTCAGGAGCCTTCTGCCCCCTGCCCCTAGCCCTTCACTTACCCATGGGTGGGCCCTTTGCACGGCCACCTCAGGTGGCCCATCATTTACACAAGCTGACTCCCAACACCTCTCCCCACGGCTGCTCTGACTCTCAGAATGTACCTTGAGTGGTCCCTGCCTCAGTTCTTTATCTGCTCTCATGCTAGAAAGGGTCTGAGAAGCCTTACGGAAGCATGGGGTGCCTCCTGCCCCCCACCCTACCCCCTCACCCGGATATTTTACGTAGCAATGGACTCACTTCACAAACAGGACTATTTTCCTTTGTGTCCAGCAGCTCTGTTAGGTATGGAGAGGTCGGTTTATGGATACAGGCACACCATAGTCTGTTTTAGATCACATGGTATGGGGCAGGATTCTCAGAGAAACCATTTTTCTTTGCAAAAGGGAATAAATCCCCTCTGTCCTAGAGGCCTCCCGTGTTGTATGAAGGGGGAGTAACCAAACAACCCAAGGAAACCGTGAATCAAACTATCAACAGACACAGGAATAGAAAGAGCTTTAGTGTTCATTTTACCCAAAGGGCTGCAAGTTTTATTTCTTCCAAAGGATCAGCAACGGCCCCTCTGACGCTCATTACATTTGCTGAACGGTGAAGCTAGATAAGGAGGGGACGCTGGCACAGGGAAGGTGCTCGACTTGATCAAACCCACTGGCTCCAGAAACAAAAACGGAGCCCACCCAACAGAGTTAAAAAACGTGATTCACTAAATATAGGAAGCAGCACAGCTCTCGAACCCAGAACTACATCTTCGCAGTGACCCGCGTCTCTCTGTGTAAAGGTTCCGGAGGTGCGGATGCTCAGAGGCACCTTCCCAGCAAATCAGTTGCTCTTATGTCAAAAGCCCTGGAGAAAACGGCCACCAGTAGATACCTGCTGACTAGGCTATAAACTTGTTTAGCATCCGAACTTTAAACTCTTTGTGAAAGTACATGAAGAGCCAGAACTTAATGTCTATATTTTTTGACCCAGTTTTCCCCAAGCAGACAAAGATTTGTTTGGCTCTACCACTTCCTATGTGCTTCTCTCATCTATAAACTGGGGATATGAATAGTACATTTACCCTCTTGTGGGGATTAAAGGAGGATTGATATGTGAAGTGCTTACAAGAGTGTACAGTTAAGTGTGCACTACTGTCCATGAAGAAGGGAGTTATTTAGTGCAGCAGAAAGCAGACACGACTGAGCTGTTCCACACCAGGAAAGCAGCTAAATAAGTCACATTGTATTCTTGTGACATGTTTTTAAAGATACTCTTTTGCCACAGGGAAATGTTCAAAATTGGTTAGTGAAAAATATCAGGATGTCACGGACTATGATCCTAATTTTGATAAAAAGAAAACAGAAAAAAGGAAGATTATAAATGGAAAAAGAAACTGAAAGGCATATCAATGCTAACAATGGTCAGCCATGTCAGGATGTGCATTTTGGATGATTTTTTTCCTTTATATAATTTTTTCTCCATTTTCCAATACTTTTTACAGTAAGCATTAATATCCGACAGGATAATTTTTGAAAATGCTCTTTCTCAAAATACATTTTTGCAGGCTAAAATTAAAGTGGCTAGAAATGAAAAGTTCCTGGGCCACCCTAATTGCCTAACTTACAGTGTCAGCATGAATCACATATAGCCTGGGCGCCCGGCCGAGCCACCTCGGCCCTCCTGGCTCCAGGGCCAGCCTTCCACTCTAACCTTAATTTCTAGTCACACCCCTACTCCTCTCTGTGCTTTGGCCAAGTGGGCCATTCGTTTCCACAGTTTGTCCTCTGCAATCTCATTTTCATATCTCTGTTCAATCTTTTTGCAACTCTTCTCCACCGGTTAAAATCTAGCTCATCCTGAAAGCTCATCTCAAATGCCTCCACCTCCAGGGAGCTTCCTCTCTCAGGCTGTCGCCTCCTCCATAAAGCCTCCTGGGCAGAGTCGATCTCTCTCTACATCCCATTGCTAAATATTAGTTTACATCCCACTGTTAAATATTGACTGCTATCCCCCTAGACTTTTAAGAACCCAGGGGCATAAGAAACAACTATGCATAATAATTATGTGTTGAATGAATCTTCTTAAACATCCCTGGCAGCTGTGTATCGGCTTCATCACATGCTCTCTCCTATCAGACTCTCCTGTACACGCACATCTTCTCCAAAGACTCCGGGTGGATAAGGATTTTGACTCACACACACGTATCTCCCTTAACTGTGGATTTAGAACAAAATGTTATACATGGGAGGTACTAGATGCTTCTTTTACTCAAGAGAGTTGAAGAGTGAAAAGCCAGAGTTTTAGGGGGTTAGCTACCACCTAGATGAAAAGACATAGGACTTACGTGGAAGGCAAGTGACAATAAGTGGCCTAAACTACTGATTGTCACTCGAGGTATAGCAAAACTCAACAACAACAAGCTTTAGAGGACCCTCATCGATACTGCCGATAGAGGAGTCCTGACCAGAGCAAATACAATGGACAGCACATGGGGATCCCATTCACACACTGGCCTGTTGACATTAGCAGAAGGCACTCAGCGCTTTTCTCCAAGCCTTCAACATTTTTGAGAATTCACTCCCTCCTCACCACCCAATATATTTCTGCTTCCTTCCCAGGCCCTGAATGAAATGTGCCCAATTTAAAAACACACCGACTCTGGTGATTTTTGTTTTAAATGTAAGCAGGTGAGGCTACAGGAAAGGACAAGAAATTAAATTGAAAATGCATCTGAAGTCCACCTGTCTTCTGCACAAAGTCAACCATCATTGCAAACTCTTCTAGCCATGCCTGGTGGTTCAAGCGAAAACACTGAATACCCAGTCTCTAGTCAGTGCATTCAAATGAACAAATTCACCCTGACCCAACCATTCTCAAATGTATTCCTCAGGGTTTTCTTTTTATCCAATAAAAATTGTCAAAATCTTGAAAAAAAATAGGAAAATGTATCTTAAGCCTGAAATAAATCAAAATGCTATCTCTTAAAGCTAATTAACATGGTAATTCTATGCATAGGCCAATAACTTAAGTGAGAAATTACAGACTCAAGATACCTACTTTTTACCACACATTTCATTCAGAAAGTATTACTCAACACCTCACATGTGCCATGAACAATTCTAACAGGCAGGGATGTGGCAGGACAGTGCAAAATAGGCAGAGTACACAGATCCCTGCCTTCCTAAAAGTTACATTCCTTTTTTTGAGGGAGGGGGGACAAACACATGAACACTGAATATTAGATGGTGAAAAATGCTATTTTTATAAAACTGTCGAGGGATTAATTAATTTAAAAAAACTACAGCGGTTGGGGGGCTTTACTGGGAGGTGACACTCAGCAAAGAACAGGAGGGAGCGAGGGGGTGAGCAGTGCAGATCAGTGGGGGAGTGTTTTGGTTCTCAGCAGCTGGAGCAGACAGTGCAAAGGCCCTGGACCTGGAATATGCAGGCCTGTGATGCTTAAGGAACAACACAGAAGCCACAGGCGATGGATCAGTAGGAAAAGTGACGGGTGAGGTCAGGTGGTGGGATAGAACCCAGTGTGGGCCGTGTTAAAAACTTCGCCTTTTACGTAGCAACATCACAGTGGTTATCAACCACCATTACCTAGTCAAAAGCAAATACAATACCATTTTGCTTAGATGTACTGGCCTACTAATCTATTTTCTAGTGTATCTGAATGGTGTCTTTATAATGTTCTGCTTAATTTACTGAGACACAGGACTTCTGAGTTCTCACTTAGGCCTTGCTGCTGATTTTTTAAAAATTACTTAGTTCAAGGAAGGAAACTCTTTTCTTATTTTCAACACTGCACCTGGCTTGCTGTCCTCTCCCATTCCCAATCTCTTTCCAAGTTTACTAGGCCAGGGAACAGAGGTCTGAGACTCTGTTGCTGTACTTGGACTTGACTTTGCACGTTGTCAGAGTTCCCTAATCCTGATGAATTAAGAAATATTCCCTCTTGGCAAATAAGCTTTGACCTCAAACTCAAAGGAGTGCTTTTTACTGGAAAGGAAGCATTATAACATATTCTTGGAAAAACTAAGAAAAGCAACCATAATATAAAGAAACTGTCTTTTCTGAAGGACATTAATCATTATACTTTAGGGAAAAAAAAACTTGTTAGTGAAAGTTTTACCAAACAAATACATATATAATTTGATTTCTTTGTGGGTGTGTGAAAACTAAAACCTACCTCATTGTTAAGTTTTCACAGATCAGGAAAAAACTAGCAGCCTGGATTTACAGGTCTATGGGGAAATTTTAAGATATTAACTCAATTTTTAGCCCATGATAAGCAACTCATAAGGAATTTAAAAACTAATAATCAACTTTCTTGTGCTGTTTGTGAACTGTGAGACTGGCAGTTCTTACTCTGGTTCTGATAATACCTGAAAAATAAGACTCCTGATCAGAGGTGCCACGTGGCCATGAATTAATTCATCTTGCCTTCCCAGTGCATGCTTATCATAAATAAAGAAGCATGCCACATTTATTACAGCAGCTCGAAGAAGAAGGAGAGCACAGTAGAGATTTAACCCAGCTCTGCTGTTTACCAGTGTGTGCTTAGAACAAAGAACCTATCCTCCGAGCCTGTTTCTCTGTTCACAAGTGAAAACATTTGGGGGACTATGGTGAAGACTGCATGAAGTGGTCTAGCTTCTACGTAAGTCCTGTTGACGGGGGTTATGCCTGCCTGTTACTTTGAAGAAATTATTTAGTCCTGGAAAGGAAATTCTTCCCCTTTTCTTTTCCTTCTTCCAGCTTTCTTGAGAGATAACTGAATATGCATTGTGTAAGTTTAAGGGGTAGAGTGTGATGATTTGAGATATGAAGATACTGCGAAATGATTACCACAATGAAGTTAGTTAGCACCCATCAGGTCACATAGTTAACTTTTGTGTGAGATTTGCTCTCTTTGCAGCTTTCAAGTATGCGATACAGTATTGCTAACTAGAGTCACCATGCTGTCCATCAGATCCCCAGAACTTACTCATCTTGTAACTGGAAGATTGTATCCTTTGACCAACATCTCCCCATTTCCCCCACCCCACCCCCAGCCATGGCAACCATCATTCTATTCTCTGTTTTATAAGTTTGTTTAGCATAAAGTCCTCAATGTCCACCCACGTTGTCAGGGAAGACAGGACTTCCTTTTTACGGCTGACTATACCTCGTTGTGTATACTATGTGCCATATCTTTATCCATTCATTCGTCAGTGGACACTTAGGTTGTTTCTGCATCTTGGCTACTTGAAAAACGCTGCAGTGAACATGGGCGTACAGATATCTCTCCGAGATGGTCTTCCCTTATTTTCAATACATCTGATAAGCTGTCATCTCTCATTCTTCATCTCTTTTCAATTTTACTCATCAGAGAATGATGGTTCTAGACCCTGCTGCTGCTGTAATCAGATCGAAACCTGACAGTTTAGGAATTGTTCCCTCTTGGCAAATAAGCTTTAACCTCAAACCAACCCATGTATCTTTATATCCAAAAGCAAGCTTGGATATCACAGCTTTTGCCGACTGCCCACGAACCCCAAAGCCAACGGCGGTGGCCTCTGACCCTGTCCTTGGAGAGCTGAAGCGCTCACTCTGACTTACCTGGCCTCGCGGGGTTCACTCTCAGGGCCTCAAGGGCCCTGTTCTGTAGCAGGGTTCCCACGGCACTGGTAACGGTCGGTCCTTTTTTTGGGCTCATCTGAGCCCTGCCCTACAGAGAGAGAGAGGGAACAGGTCTAGAACCTCAGGTAGCACACAGGAGTAAAGCTCCCCACGTACCCAGCAGCCGACCGGAGTCATCTCCGGGGACCTGCTGCACCCCGGGGAGGGGGCACACACACCCTGTGCCTTAGTCAGCCCGGCTCCTAACCTCCCTGCTGGCGCTCAAAGCCACGTCAGGGTCTAGGAGCTTTCGCTCCATAACCGAGCCTTTCGGGGAACTTCGATGCATTAACCCTGTACAAATAGTTGTATGCAGACAAGAAATCACTCGTGTCGATAAGGACAGTAATGGGACATTTCAGTTCTTCATTACACTCGAAGATGCGTTTGTTTTTAAATACACGAACGGAGAAGAAAAACAGACACTGGCAGGCAGCAAGTGTTTTAAACATGGAATTCCAGCATCGCCGCACCACGCCCTCCCTGCTGGGCCGCGGCGGCAGAGTAGCTGCATTAACGCAGAGCGCGGACCAGGGGTTCCTTGGTCGCCCCTTGGTACCTCCCCACCCATCCGAGCAACATCTCCATGGAAACTGCATAAAGATAACCTGTTACTCAAGCGAGAATTCTCGCTTAGGCAAGGCCAGCTATGAGAGGAGAGCAGGCAGTTCATCCCCATGCAAACAAACAGGGCTATTTTCAGAGGGTATAACACTTTTTTTTTTTAAAGTTGATTTTATTTAAAATAGAAACACATTTCAGCTGTGCTGTTAACAGCCCTTCAGAACTGAAACGGCCCCTCCCTCTCTGCCCCACTTCTGAATAGGCTCCACTATGAGGCAGGGCCCCAGCGTGGCGAGGCTGGCATGGGGAAGACAAGCCCTGCTGTTCAGACACACTCGACAGTGAGTTTACTCAGAAAGCAGGCAATTTTTCTTCTGTGTTCCCAATCACCACTTAGCTCTGGAAAACAAGGCGCGGAACGGGGCCAAGTCACTGGTTACAGTCAGGACGGCCAGCTGGCCTCCTTCAGGAATAAAAAGCACTTCCGTTGCTGCTTCCCAGTGCTCCCTTTGGCCCCACCAAACCCCAGCTCACTTCGTGGACTGGCCAGAAGAACCATTCGAAGAAATGGGCCGCACCCTTTAGTGCTTTAGAAAGCGGAGGGAGAGTTATACTGAGAAATCCTTTCCAAAATGAAGTTGAATTGAAGCCCAAAGCAATCATATCCCCTCAAAATCGGGGTGTCTATCCCACCCACAGGAAAGGACTCCCAGAGGGGGGAAGGAGGGTGGGGTGGTGGGGAAAGAGGAGAGTGGGAGGACCCCTACTTATGTTATCCATAATCCTCCCAACAACTCAGGAAGGTACAGATGCAAGTGAGTCTCAAATAAATTTTTTTTTAATTTTAAATTGATTTTAGGGGGGGGGCAAGGGAGGGAGAGGGAGAGAGAGAGAGAGACAGAGAGAGATACACTGATCGGTTGCCTCCTGCATGTGCCCCAACCAGGGACCAAACCCACAACCCAGGTATGTGCCCTGACCAGGAATCGAACCCATCACCCCTTTGGTGTATGAGATAACGCTCCAACCAACTGAGCCACACCGGCCAGAGCCAGTCTCACCGAGTTTAACTTGACCGAGTTTACCTGCAGATAGTGAATTATAGGACTGAGATGCAAACCCCGAGTGCAGGATCTGGGCTCTTTCTACACGGCACAGCCTCCCATCCTATGTCAGGTGTAAAGATTGAATCTCTACAACTATATTTATCATAACCACCCTGCCTGCTCCCATCAACACACCCACCCCTCCCTCCTGTGTCCTTTATCTCGATGTACAGTATTACTTATCTGCCTAGGCTCTGGAGCTGAAAACCTTCTTGTCAACCCTGGTCCTCTTACCCTATGTCCGATCACCTTCGCAGTCCCATCAATTATTTCTTAAATTCTCCCCCCACCCGTCACCCCCTTTAGTCCTCTCACTCCAGCCCTTAACCCTTTCCCTGTGGCTGTGGCTTTTAATCGTTCTCCTCCAGTCCACCCTGACCACCAATCCCAAGGGTAATCTTTCTGAAAAACCAATTCCATGTCACTCCTGCCGACGCTGTTCAACCAGCCAACACTGCCTATGAGGCTGACAATAGACAACTAGCCAGAAAAGCCAAGAAAGTCAGAAAGGAGAGAGAGCAGAGGCATAGTAGGAAGAAGTGGCGGCAAGAGGTCAAGGAGGACTCCTCGGGCCCCCGGGGACCTCACCGTGCCTGCCTCCTGGCCCTCGGGCTGGCTGGCCTCAGACTTGGGGCGCCTCTCCACTCCATTCCTCTCCTCCTCTCTGAACCGGCTTGACTCAAAGCCCTTGACTTAAAGCCCTTGACCTAAACCCTTCCAGACCCGAGGCCGGCCCGGCCTGTCCCATCCCATCCCTCACACACTGGGCTCCCAGGCCACAAGCCGGGTGTTTGTGCATAACGCCCTTCTCGACCTGACTCTAGGCCGGAGAACCCATTTGACATTGTAGGGGGACATGTCCGCTCCTCTCTGAAGCCGCCATGAATCCCCGTGACCTCTTTCTCGGCTGTGCTCCTATACGTGTCAACTGCCACATCTCCCTACTGCACTGTTCCCAAGTCCCCCTCTTCCCTTGAATCAGCCAGCACCCAGCACCCAGCACCCAGCACAGGGCCGGGCTCAGAGCAGATACTCATAACTGTCTAATATATGCGCACTAGAGCACGCACTCCTTAGCTGTGGGCTGAGCTAGGGTTGGGGAGTCCCACTCCCATGAGGTGCTGGATTTCATGGAAATCTTTCTGAACATGTTTCATACTCTAAGTATTCAGACCAAGTTCATCTTTCCTGGTGTCTGAGCCATGTTTATGACTAACAGTTTTCATGCGAGACTGTAAGTGATGTCCCTGGGACCTGTGATGTGTACGGAGCTCTCCGCTGGCTCCGGTTCTGTTTTTATAAATCTATTGTCTTCCTGGTCAAGTTGTGATTTTACTCATTTGTCTCTATGACAGTGGCTGCCATTTCTCCACTTTGACTTGCTGATTCTGTGGCCTTTAACACCTTCCTCTAAAGAGCAACACGCTCGGCCTGTGGGACTGGTCTCCTGTGGTGGCTCCCGTCACTCGGGCCTGCTCCACTTTAGGTTCCCAATTCTTTTCCACGGGGTGAGGGCTGATAACCACTGCTGGACAGGCAGAGCTTTACCATAATACTATAGAAATATTACTTATGTATTCAAGCCTTCATCCTAAGATGCTGCAAACACCATAGAAATATTTTTTTTCTACAACAGCCAAAGGTGTGGTAAGCTGGGAACTCAAAAGGAGCCCAGACCCATAAGGACAAGCGACAGTGATCAGCTATGGTGATGCTGACATTTCCCAGGATGGGTAACAGGTTCCCCACCAAACTACCTGCCTGCCCCTGGCATGCAAGGGCACCTGAGCCGGCACCTGGGAAGAGCCATTTACCTGCGCTCTGGACGCCAGTTTGGCCGCCGTCTGGGCTGCGTCAAAGACTCGGCGAGAAGACTGATCCTTGCAGAAATTAATATGTCGACTGGCTGCATTTTCATTAAACCTCCTCAAACAATATGGGCATTGGATATAATCTGAATGTGAAGATAACAGCAAAAGGCAATTAGCGTTTCAAAAACAACTCTGAACCGGGCTAGAGGAAATGAAATAAATAGGATATGAACCCTGCTCCCTCACGAAAGAACAAGGTCCCAAACCCTGGTGTGAGACCCCCTTTTCTGGGGGCAGGCAGCGAGGGCTCGAACGACAGACGGGGGGAGAATGTTCCCCTGCGCACTTCCTTCAATTAAGAGTGCACCCTTAAACGTTTGCATAAATTATACTTAGGAACTCCCAATTAAGTGAATTATTGAGTGGATCTTCGTGTAGAAGGTAGTCGTGGAGTCACAGGATGTTAGTATCGATGGTTTGAAAGGACACCGAAGCTGCAAGAGCCCAGGCTGTGGTGCTGGGCGTGGCAGACACACAGGCAAGAGCTTAGGGGGCTGCGAGGGAGATAAGATGTCCCGGAATGTGGGTTTCGGGGACGGGATTTGAAACCAATGTCACGGGCAGAAAGACACTGACTCTGCAGTGAGAGATTTTTTTCACTGAACTCTGAAGAGGAGGGGTAAAGGAAGGAGGTTGTAAAAGGAGAAAATATGGGGATTCAAAAAAAGAGAAAAGGATAGGAGGCGTGATTGGAAGGTGGCCCCGGGAACAGCTTCCGTTTCCAGGGCTAGAATGTCGCAGGCAGGGG